ACCCTTTCCTCTCTGTCTCATTCCCTCATTCACACATTCTTTCCCCTGTTGGTTTCAAGCCATCTTTGCTTTGTCAATGTTACCTGATAACACAAAGCAGGGTTTTAAAGCCAGTTGTTGCTGTTTGGCTTGAGCCGAGCGGGGGAGCACCAGGGATGCTTCTTGGTCCTACGTAAGTGGTCGGTCTTTCCTTTGCTGTTCTCATCACCACACACGTGTGATATTCTTAGGTCAGAATTCTTAGATCCAAAGAATAAAACATAACTGTAATTAACATTATTTAGCACACCCCTGAAGTCATCCAAGTATATAAAAGTTATGAGTCTGGACTCGGCGAATGGTAAGGGTCTGAATTGTTCTGAAATATTTGAATGTGCCACGTAGCCAGAGTCTTTGTATGTTGTAAATTGGAGTAGACGTATGTGCTACGGCTTTTATTCTCTGGCCTTCTTCTCTAATACTGGATGCAGTATGCAAAAAGACATACTTAGAGAGAAGAAATACTTAGATGTATATCTTCTTGTGAAATATTTGTGTATTATTTTGACAACAGCCAGGTGTAATGACAATGTACTGGAGGTAAGTGATGCTGTTGCCCAGTTTAAGGATGGTTTGCCTGCAAGAACCCTGGGGTTTATTTTCTTCAGGTGGGCCTTTCTGACAGCAGAAGAACAAAAGAAAACATTTTAAATGTAGGAGAATGCTGGAAAATTCTGCTCTTAAATGTTTTTGAAATGGTCAAAGTATTGCCTAGGTATGTTGTCTTTGGACTTCAGAAGCTCATTTCCATCTCTGCTAAAATGGGACTGCAAGCTACCTTGTGAGAGAGTTGTCACGATCAGCCAGTGAATATTTATGAAGAAATTTCATGGCAAAAAAAAAAATAATAAATGCTACATATATTATTAATAATTATGTGAGTCCTGAAAAATACCATACTATATCACAAAGCTGGTATTGTCCAGTGACTACACTCTTGGCACTGCGTGCTACAGTAAACTGTGTACTGAAAACTCATACTAATGGAAAGGTATACAGGATTCCATTGGTAAGTGATTTATAGTGACTTCCTATTATAAACAAGAGGGAACAAATATCCTGCCTTGCTGGTTTCTTTGGGCGGATGGTGAGAGCAGAATGAGACATTCCTGGCCAGGCAAAAGCTGATTCTCTGGATGCTTGCAACTGGGAGCAGAATGAAGCACCAGAAAGTGAGGTACAAATGACAATCCCTAATTATAAATGATTGAGTTTCCACTCTCATAGTGCTTAAAACTTTCCAGTTGTAGAGCAAAAAACCACTTTTAAGTGATTTCCAAACTTGTAGCAAAAAGATGTTTCTGACGTTTAATATTAAATAGACTTAGTATAGGACCTTAATATATGCTGAAAACCTACCGACATCCTTTCACAAGCAGCACGTTGCTTTCTGAGGCAGAACAAACCACCTTCAACAGCAGCTTCTTTTTGGGCTTCAATTAATAAATATGCTATTGAGCACAACTGTAGTTTGTTTAGGAAAGTTATTTGTGCTGGCCAGTGGTATGCTGTTGATAAACTTCAGTGTACACCCTATCAAATAAGTCTTGGGAACAGTGTGGAATATAATAATACATCGGCATCGGCTTTCTCTGGAGTCACTTGCCTTGATCTGAGCTTGACAAGTCTGTAGGGGTTGAAATTTGTGTCAGAGCCTGCTTTGCTCCAACTAGTGAGAGGACCATGCTTTTTCAGGAGAAACCAGAGGTGGCTGCTACGTAGGGTGTGTTAAAGTTAACCCCAGCACTTGGAGAGGGCAGCTATGGGGCATCCTTGGTACCTCGTATAAAGTGCTGCCTCTCACGTAGTGAGAGGGGGCTCCTGAGTGAAGTGAGAGGTCTGCCCATGAGCACTTAACTCTGGGGTGAGTCCTGAGCTGGGGCTGCTCGGTGAGATTCAGTATGCTGCATCATTTTTCCATTCTTTCCATCACCATTTCCAGAGATGTTACCCGGTCCCAGTGCCATTTCCTCATTGCCTGAGAGAAGAAATCTAGGAACGTGTTGTGCGATGGTCATGAAACTGAACACTTTCCATGTTGAGAATGCTGTTCTTTGGTTATACTCATGAGGCAGTCTCACCAAATGTTGCTTTTACAGTTGAAATATACTTTGCAATTGTTGTGTGGGTATGTCAAATATCAAAAGCTTTAATTATCAAGAGCTTTAATTAGTAGTTGGGGGCATAGCAGGTAGGTTGCAAAAGATGAAGAAAAAGCAAAATGTCAAACAAGAGTTACCTTTTATTTTTTAAACTTCATAAAACTTTGTCATTTATGTTCCCTTTCTTGTCAATGAAGGGCCAGACTTGACCAGACCGCGATTCTTTCGGGCTGAGCTAAGCAGTTAAGGCTGTAGTTACACCAGGCGTTAAGTCTCCAAAGGAGAGATAGAGCCCTCCCCTCATCCAGCTCACAGCATTTCCATGGGGATGATAACGCTGCCCAAAGGGAAACAGTGGGAGGAGGTGGCCATGGAAGAGAGCTTCGTCATCTGATTTTGCAGCAGCACCCAGGGGTGTTGGACTGTGGCATTAGATAGGTGGGCTGAAACCCCTTCTTGAAGGACACGTCTGTTGTTTGTGAATGGAGTCTGGACAACTAACCTGGATAAGTACGTTACCTGGATGGCAGGTTCATGGCAAAGCGAGGTGAACCCTGCTCTTCCCTTTGAGCTGGATCGAGTTTCATCGGCAAGATGTCAAGGAGAGCGTGGCAAATGGTCTTTGTCAAGGTGGTTATCCCCATCCAAAAAGATGATAGTAATACATATTTCCTTCACTAAGGGCTGTTCAGACAGATGTGAGCTGCTTGGATGCTATGGTAGTGCAAACTGAGATATGCTGTCAGAGTTTTGGTGTAGTAGACAAGGATTTTTTGGCAAGAAAAATGGGGCCTGTGCTTTGAAATGATGGATTTTCAGACTTCATTGTATTAACATGCTTTTACAGCAGTTATTAGCAAGAGCTTTGCAAATTATCAATGATGGTTTTATTGTAACCCAGTTTCGAGTTTCTTTGACATAAATTATTTGTTTGAAAAAACCTAACATCTGAATGGAATAAAAAAAAGAGTTGTAATTCAGGAAAAATCTTCAGCAAAGTTAAAGAATGGATAACTCTTTGCTTCTGGATTGTGTATTTTAGCTTTTATATACCATGGGCAAGCCACTTTCTTTTAGAGTTGGCAAAACACCAGTAAAAAATATTTGCAAATACTCCTTCAAATAAACGCTGGAATTGGAATGTATGTCACCATTCACACCTACTTTCCTCAGAAGTTTGTACAAGCAATTTTTTTGTTCATAGGAAATATTTTCCACAGCAAAAGAAGCTGACAGATGCTTGAGAGAGGTGTATTTATATCCAGGTTTGCTCTGGCAACGACATTCTCTATTACTTGCCATTTCCATTTCTATACCTACTGACCTATTCAGTCCTAAACCTCCTCTTTAAAATTGTCTCTATTTGAAAAAAAATTAAGCAGGGCTAAAAAATTATTTGTAGCCAAGTACAGCATGAAGAAGGAGACTTTTGGTGTCATGCAATACCTCTCTCTGGATCAAATGGTTTCTTTTTTCGTTGGTTCCCTCTCCTCTGCATAGGTTGAACTTCCCCCTCTGGAATCCCATTCAAGCATTGATCTAGGAGAGCTTAAGAGATACTGATTTAAGATGTGCTCTTTTGGAACAAAATGTAAACCTTGGCGCCACTTTCGGGCATTTATTTATAAAGTTGCTTTGCAAAAGGACGGAGGCCAGCTTGGCAAACATCTGACCTCTGAAATCACAGCTGGTCTCTCTGCATTTCTATGGTGAGACTGTGGTCTTCAGTGGCCACCTCCGAGGGCTGGGGAGCGCGGCTGGGCTGAGTTGTTCGATGCGGGTTGGCTGTGTGAGAAAACGGGCTGCTGGTCAGTGGTGGGCAAAGTCACTGGTAACTGGAGAGCCACCAAGGGTTGCAGTGTGCTTTGAGACCACTGGAAGCTCAGTGCAAAGAAAAGATCGGCTTTTAATTAATAATCTGATGGAAATCTAGCAATAAGGTTGATCGAGCCTCATAAAGAGGGGGCATTACTTTATGAGAATTATGCTGCTTTTAGGAGCTTTTTGAGTCCTGGGGCCGTTAGTGCTGATGCCGTTGCTGTTTCTTGTGACTCGTTCTCCATGGGCATGGCAGTTGGACATGGCTTCTCACTCCTCTGTAATATATTTCTGTGTCAGGATAGCAAGACTGAATAAAGCTTATACATTTCTGCCTGGTAAATATTTCTGGCTTTTCAGAGACGTGAGAACTTTATGAATGAACAAATGTGACTCTTGATGGGAAAGTGTAGCTTATGGCTGTGATGCAATTTCATCTTTGAAGGCTGTTAACCAGGTGTGCTTGTTACCCTTCTCAGCCTGCCTCTGTGACTTGAGTCGCTGCCTGGGCAAGGGGCGCATTAAAAACCACACACATCATGTGTGTATGGGTGAGAGTCCTATTTTTAGCACATACAAGAAGGCATTCACTGAAGGGCAATGAAGCTGATTTTTATTTTTAGGTTTTGCGATTCCGTATGTCCTTGGGATTTATGTTTTGAAAAACCAGCTCTATCACTTCGCAAAATGTAGGTGGACCTCCAAAACTGGCTTTGTTCTCACTATTGCCAAAATAACCAAAATACTTTTTCCCAGACAGGGCTGGTGTGGAATTCACTGGGCAGGGTTCAGCACTGATTCTACCAGTGTGGTTCTGGTGAGGCTCAGTGAAGTTCTACCTCACTGAAGCCCATTTCTATAAGATCATGTCTTGGGAATGTCCCCACAGTAGAAATGTCCTAACAAAATTTTTATTTGGAAATCTGTTATCAATTTTTGAATTAATCTTGGGTTATTTTCCCATGTGCCTATTCCATGACCTTGCTTGTTTGAAAAACTATTAAAAGAAGAGAGGCATCAATTTTTTTTTTCTGTTTTCAGAAACTCTGGAGAATGGACCAAATAAGTGTGAAAGGTGAGTAAGGGACTTCACAGTTTTCCAAGGTAATAATTCTTACAGTTTTCCTGACATCACATACCTCTGTAAACTGTATGTGTGAATATTTGTTATTGCTTGAATCTAGCGCAGCTAACAGAAAAGGAACCAGCAAAGATGAAACGTACTGGAAGGAGATCAACGCAGCTATGGCCCTAACGAACCTTGCCCAGGGGAAGGATAAACTGCAGGGAACTACCAGCTGCATCATTCAGAAATCATCACATATATCAGAAGTAAAGACTGTTAAAGTGCCATTAGTTCAGCAGTTTTAAGAGATGGGTCCTTTTTCTTTTTCCTGTCAAACGGACATTTTCCTCACAGGATTGGTTTTCAGCAAAATCAGATTCACAGATATGAGGCAAATGTGGAAAATAGGCCCTCTTTTACAGTATGCTCAGTTTTAAAAAATAACGTTCCTTCCGACTCAGATGTTTTCATTGTATTAAATGAAATGTTCAATTGCTTCTATAAAAGGCATGTAAATTATAAAAAAAACCTGTTTTTATCAAAACATTAACTTATTTTATGTTAATCAAAGTGCGCATAAGATGTTTGCATTGCTATTACAGTAAGTGCCTTGCTTTCAAAAAATAAGCTATAACGTGGGCATAGTACAACAGTATTATGCCTCAAAATGACAATGCCATAATGCTTAAACTTTGTATATTATTCCAAGTGGGCTTAAAAAGCCTAGGGCTAAACACATTACTGCTGGAGGCCCTGGAGGATTGTGCTTATTTGACTTGTACAAATTGACGAGTCTTAATGAAATTGTTACATCGTTTTCTCTCTTTTTTTTAATCAACAGTGTTATAAAAACTGTACAGTACGTTTTGTCAAAGTGACAATGAGGTTGTTATGCATGTTTCTTACCTGTATATGCAGTATATTAAAATACCAAAATCATTCCTTTGAAAAGTGCAATACTCTAGAACACACAAATTTAGGAAATAAGTTAATTGTTCAGATTATTTTGAACTTATACATATGCTCCCAGCTGTGTTGCTCACTAAAGATTTCTAGATGCGAAGGTTCTAGCCAGACTAGCTGTAAATCCAAGTTGAATTTCTATAATTGTAAAGCTTTGCTAGTGACTTCCTGAAGTTTTGATAGAAGTAAAATTGATTTCTTCTTGTACAAAACAAAATCTATAGTGCCATTTATTATTTGCAGTGGAGCTCAAAAAAGTTTCCATGGTGGATCTCACTACTTTAATGTGGTTTAAACATTTTTATTTTGTAGGTACTGCATAAATGAGGAGAGTTGATAGACAGTTCACATTTCAGTGAGAAAAAGCTATAATATAAACTATCAAAGCCCAAACTAGAAACACAAATGGGAAATGAAACATTGAAAAATCTCAGCATTTAAGGTGGGAGGGTTTGAAGTAGATACTAAACCATGTATTAAATGTCATGTCTCTAAACTTGACTGCTATTGAGTGTAATGACTAGCATAAAACCAGGTATATTTTTAAGTTTATAGGGAGGTGTACAAGTTATTCTGAAGTCATATAACAATAGTCTAATGAGGTTTACAGTGCTTGAATAAACAGTGGCAAAGTCAAAAACAACTTATACTGAATCAGTTACAGAAAACTGGAAAAGAGCTGATCGTTGCTAGGATTTGGATTTTTTCCTGTGGGTATCCTGTCAGTTTCTTTCCTACTTATCCCTTTCCTTGTTTCTCTTTTTGGTGAGCCATCAATGAACAAGACAAGACTTTAGTCCTGCTCCCACTGAGTTTAATGGCAGAACTCCCACTTCAGTGGAAGCAGGACTGTGCTAATGATGACACTAATTGCAAGTAGAGGCTGTTCCAGTTGCACTAAAATAGTCAAGATGCATTGCAAATATCAGCCTTGGTGTGACTTCATAGGAAACTTCTTGATGTAACATAACATATTGTTGGGTTTATTTAGTGTACAATGAAAATGATTTGATATGAAAATATTTTGTACATATATATTTTTACTTTGTTTTCTAAATTGCTGATTTGCATTGACTTAAAGTGCCAAGCAAGAAATGTATGTCTTGACTGTATGAACAGTTGAAGTATATGTTTTACTGACTTGCATCATTATATGTCTAAGATTCCATAACATTAATTTTTGATACTTTACTGGATTTTGACATAATAATGTGAGTTTATAACTAATAGCGGAGAGTTAATACTTCACTTTTGTTCATACTATTGTAAGTTATTCTGGTATTAAATATTTTGTGACAATAAATTGATGGTTTTGACAAGCTTTTCTGTTAGAAATATTCACAGTGTTTTTGTCTGTATAAAAGACAACAAAATTTGTCATGTAAAAAAGGTACTTTTTGGGGACTTCTCTGGAGTAAAACTGGAGAAGGCAAGCCATTGTATAAACAACTTGTTCATGGTTCTTTTTTTAAATGATCAAAGCACAAAGAATAATCTGTAAAACACATCAAGTGGGTTTTAAATTTAAGAAATACTTGGCATAATTTCTTGTTACCATTTCCTTTATTTATTTTTTTTCTACTGCTGCTTTAGAGTTTTCTGAAAACACAAATTCTAATGAATTATGTGTGTGTCTTTTTTTAAATAACAAAAATCATGATCAGTGCTGAGCCAACAGCTAATGAAGACTCAATAATTATTTATGATATTGGAAAAACAAACATTATTACTATTGCTCTTCTTTATTTCAACATATGTAACCATTTTAGTAAAATAAATAACTGCAAACAACAGCTTTTTGGTTTGAATTAAATATTCATTTATCATTATCATTATTCAATGTCCTTAGGCATTTGCATTTCTGGTTTCCTGATATAGTCAGGGTTTCTCTATACTGGGATACAAGCATATGGTAGGCAAAGACAAAACAGGAGTGCTAGTCTTTTGGTTAACACACCTTGTGGTGCGCAGTTATGTGAAGTAGTTTAGCACATCCCTGATTAAAATGACTGTTTGGCAAGTTTAGGCTAATGACTGCTAACGACAACATGGTATGATGCTTATAAATCCTCCACACTGGAGGAGCGCAGCAGGAAGCGGTAGCTAATCAGTGTCCTCAGTCACTGGTGAAGGTCAACGAGCTGTGAAAGACTTTGGTCATTTTGGGTTTTTTTTTATTATAGGCTACATTTGTCTACAGTACCATGTATGGATACAGTTTGGTTGTGGAGCCTTGGTGGAGAATGAGATGCAGTCAGCCCATCTAGAAGTTCAGTGCTCATACTTACGACAGCCCAGTGCTACTTCTTATCCCTGTCAGACATGAAGAAAACTACTTATTCTGCTGCCATCTACTCTGTCACATCATTTGCAAGAGCTGAGCCCTCCCGACCTTTTATAAACCATTGAGAGTAAGGGGAGGTGCAGTTTTGCCAGATCACTCAGTAGTTAGAATATACGTTGGGATCAGGACTAGTCTCCTCTTCCAGCAACAGACAAAAGCTACAACCACTGAGCTTAGTTCACACTTGAAGCAGTTTCACTAGGGAGACCAAGAGCAAGTCCCGGGGCAACACATAGGCCATTTTGAGGACATTTGATAACTTGGTGCCCTAAGTTTTAACTTGGAGTTTGGCGAAAGATGGCAGCTAGACTTGGATGCCCACACAGACATGCATGAAGAAACCACTGCACTGTGGGTTAGAAGGAGAAGATGGAGAGGGGAGGTTGATAGCACCACTGTATTGTGCAAGGAAGAATGGATTTAGCTTAGGCTATGGGAAAGGCTATGTGGGCTTAAACCTGTTTCTTCATTATCGCTTCACTCAGATAGCTTTTCATTTCAAGCCCTGGCTTTTATGAATGATGTTATTGTCCACCTAAACTATCTGTCAGTGGAGATCCACGACACCAAATGTGAGATGCTATTACAGGAAGCAGCCTCAGCAGTACCTATGTTTCTTTCGATCTTGAGGAAGCCTTGTGCCATATTCTCCTGCATGGCTTCCAAGGGCTGGAAGACATGGGTGTATCTGTTGGTAAGTACCCTGTATGGGGTGGAAGATGAGACTAAGCATGACTAGTCATCCAACATCCCAAAGCTGCTCCTATAAATTGAGTTCCACCAGGGCTATGCAAGTCTTATTCATAATTTCTGCATTCAAAAGAGCACTGGGGACCTCAGAGTGGCCCTGGTAGAGCCAGGATCCCAGTACTGCTAGGAGAGAAAAGCGACTACAACAGCAAAGCTTGTCACTGCTCCTTGGACAGGGTGCTGCCTCAGGTGGCAAAGGGAAGGGTGCAGCTGTCTTCTATCAATGGCTGACTTTCTCACATATACCAACATTTTTTTTGCTGTGAAATCTCATTTTCTGTTACGAAGCCTTCAACTGATGTTGTGTTTCCACTCAGTTCTTAGTGTGACTACACTTTTTAAAATTCTGGCCTGTTACTTGCAGGAAAATGGAGCTTGTACGCAGCACAGACTGAGGACACCAGACCATCCAGTACTCCACAAGCAGCTCTAAATGCCGGTGGACACCAGTGGTCACAGTGACAGCTTCAAACATGACAGACCCCTGGTTTATTCCTCTGTTATTATGAACAATCTATGAGATTCATGGAGAATCAGAAAGAACTTAAAAGGGTTCCCAGCTCTTAACCTAGCAAATCCAAGCATTTGTGAAGGTCTGAGGGCCAAGGCATGTTTCCATGGCCAAGTGCAGACAGTTGCATGCCTGCTCTGAGCCAGCTGGACAGAAACAGGTCTAGTTCAGGAACTGGGTAACCAAATTTGGCATTAAGCCTGAGCTGCTACATCAAGTTTCCCAGCAGAGCATGGACTGGACTCAGCTTGGTGTGAATATGTCTGTGCAGCTTTTGGAGCATTGCTTGTTCTATGCCTTCACTTGTCCACATCAATGTCCACAATTTTCTCTGTGCTTTGATGCAGCATTTCAAAGAAGACAGTAATATTGCTCTACATGGTTGAGCTCTGTGTAGAAGTACACTAATAGTTGGGAGCTGCTCTGGTGAAATACCTGTCTAGCATAGTTAGGTAGGGCAGAAAAGTGAGATGAAGCATGATCATAGAATCATAGAATGGTTTGGGTTGGAAAGGATCTTAAAAATCATCTAGTTCCAACCACCCTGCCATGGACAAGGACACCTCCCACTAGACAAGGTTGCTCAAAGGCCCATCCAACCTGGTCTTGAATGCTTCCAGGGCTGGGGCGTCAACAGCTTCTCAGGGCAAACTGTTCCAGTGTCTCACCACCCTCACACTAAAAAATTTCTTCCCAATATCTAATTTAAATCTTCCCTCTTTCCATTTAAAAACGTTACCTCTCATCCTATCGCTACATCCCCTGATAAAGAGGACCTTCCCATCTCTCCTGTAGGCCTCCTCTAAGTACTGAAAGGCTGCTATAAGGTCTCCCTGGAGCCTTCTCTTCTCCAGACTCAACAATCCCAACTCTCTCAGTCTCTCTTCACAGGAGAGGTGCTCCAGCCCTCTGATCATCTTCTTGGCCCTCCTCTGGACTTGCTCCAACAGGTCCATGACCTTCTTATGTTGGTTGCCTGAGAGCACTGCTTTGACACACTGCAAGGTAGGCTACAGGAATCCAGCCTGGATGTGAGTTCATGTTGTACAAGCCAGTTTGCCAGTGTGTAGGTATGTTCAATTCCCATTAGCAGCAGAATTGAGACCCAAACCCATGACTTTCACAGTGCTGGGTTGCTGAGCCAGTATTTAGTTTTGGGCCCCATCTTGAAACTCCTCTTGTTTAACAAGAAGGGAGGAGGTTGGCTAAAACACAAGTACGTTGTGAAAAAAGAAGAAGAAAAAAAAAAAGAAGTGGAAAAGACACATGAATGCCTAATGCAACAGAAAAAAAAAAAAACCAAACCTCCTTAATGTTGCTGTTATGTCAGCTTGGGTTATTGGCAGTGGAAGTGGTTATTGGCAGCGGAAGTTAGACCTGGCTCGAGGCTAATATAACTTGCGCACCTGACGTTTTAAAAGGAGCTGAGATCTGGTTTCTTTATGGATGGGCTTTTTTTTCATTTGTGGTGTTGGTCCCTTCTTCAGATTTCCTTAACCTTCTTTTCAGCCTGTTTTGGACTTGTTTCTTCTTCTATCTTTCTTCCTGCCTGAAAAGTTTCCTATTACATGCAGCAATGGGATCCTTCACACCAAAGCTCATTCTTCTGGCTTTGTAGTTTCCAAGGCCATATAGACAAAGGACGTATGACTCGATAAGCTGGTGTTCATTGACAAAGTCTGGTATCTCCCATCTCCCAGCCCAGGACCAGTGAACATGTAAAGTCTCAAGAGTGTGCAATAGAGGCCCTTCAACCAACAAGCTCCACCATCTATCAATGCACTCCTAACTACTACTGCTTTTGGCTATCTTAACTCCCAAAAGGACTGTCAATTTAACCATAACTACCTAAGAACTGCCAAGTCTCATTTTATGAGCTGCTGTTGAGAGTTTAGCTATTTAAGGCTGATTTTAAACAATTTTTATTGGTACTTCGTGGCATGTGCCTGATTTACAGTGCTGTAAATAACCACAAATTAGGGACATTTCTTTCTTTACAGTAAAGGCACATTATCTTGAGCATAAGAAAAATAGTTTGTTGGTGAAGAACTGGAGTGCAGGCCCTTTTCTGCCACAGGGTTCTGGTGTGAACCCAGGCAAGCCTTGTCCTGGGTTTGATCCATGAGAGGATCTCTCTCTCCCCACTGGGGATGCTCCAAGCACTGGGGAATGTGGAATGAGGATCCCATCTGAGATGTCCCTCACTGCTTACCCTGCTGCTATGAGGCTCTGAAGGCAGGAAAGAGACCCACAGACACCACACTGAAGGTTTCAGTGTCTTCACTGCACTGCACAGATGGGTTCCTCTTCAACAGTACATTTCCCACCCATGCTTGCTGCCTTCATATACAGAGAAAAATGAAGCCAGCCTTCTCTTCGCATGAAGGTGTGTAACTGAAATACATGGCTAAACACTTTGGGCAGCAGTTAAAATGTGAATCTAACTTTGGGGAGCTCATGAGATGGCCACAAAACGTATGACTGGATTTTAAAAGGTTCCAAATACTCAACGCCAGCCAGTGTAGTCAAGACAAGTGGTCACCAGCATTTCAGCTAGGTCTTTGCCCATTTAACATGAGGTCAGCAAAATGGAAACATTTTGTGGAACAGGACAACTGCATTTAATTTCTTTGGATTTCTTTTAGGAAAGCTTGGAGATGATGAAACCCCTGAATTTCTTTCATTTTTTAAATGCAAAAGTCTAGTTTTTCAGATTA